AATGTTGTGATAATGCAGATTCCAGACTACCTGCCTTTGTCTCCATGGGAAAGAACCACCCTCGCCTGCAGGGCCAGTCAGAGTGTTGGCAGCTCCTTAGCCTGGTACCAGCAGAAACCTTGGCAGGCTCCCAAGCTCCTTATCTATGGTGCATCCACCAGGGCCACCAGCATCCCAGCCCAGTTCAGTTCAGTGGGTCTGGAATAGACCTCATTCTCATCAGCAGCAGGCTGAAGCCTGAAGATTTTGCAGTTTATCTCTGACAGCAAGGCAGCGGTGGGTATCACAGTGATTCAGTCCCCAACACCAGCCTCATCTGCCTTCATCCTGTCTTCCCTGGGAAACAACTGCTTCCTCCAGAGGCACAAAGTCAGATCTATGTCAGGTTTCTCTGTTCCCTTTGCCACCTTGAGAAGGAAGTTGTGAGAGACAGAATCAAGCTTCATTCAGGTCCTATGGAAGATGAAGGGTCTCTTAGACTGTCCTTGCTGCTTCTCACAAAATGTCAGAAATTAAGGAAGATGGGTAGACACTGTACTCTTATCTGCACATTTTACAAGGAAAAAATTGATGGTCATGAAGAGTCATAAATATCTCAACTTCATGTGGAGATTTAGTAATGAATATATGAGAGAAATCTTGTTGCCCAGGTTCTCTGTGCACTTACCATTTTGGTCTGAACAGGTGATGGCCCTGTCTCTGAAAGCACAGTCCCACAGAAAATGGTTTCAGAAATTGCCCAACGTCTCCTAGAGTCTGTTTTTTCTCAATGAGAGAAATAATGTCTGGAGACTGTTCTCTCAAATTCTGACTCTGGAATCTGGATATTCTCAGTTCTTTCTTGATTTGAGTCTCAGCACCACATTGGTGACTCAGCTATGGCTACTATTCCTCATGTAGAAGAGCCCAAGGTTTTATCGAGGTGAGGAATTTGTGGAAAATCAGGCCTTCCCATGACCCAGGTTCCTATGTTCATTCCCNAAAAGAGAAAAAGGAAAAAAAAAAAATCTAAAATTAGATCCCTTTTCACATACACTAGGATGGCAATAATAACAATAAAATAATAATAATAATAATAATAATAATAATAATAATAATAACAACAACAACAACAACAACAAACAACTGAAAAATACCAAGTGTTTGTGAAGATATGGGGAGATCAGAACTGTGATAATTAACTTTATGCATCACATGACTGTGCTGACTGATGCCCAGATAAGATAGCTGGTAAAACATTTCAGTGTGTGTCTGTGAGAA